GTGTTTCTTATTAAACACCTTTAAGAACAACAGGCCGTATCAATCGGGTTGCACGAGAAATGCCTTGTAATGTATGTACAAGTAATTTTGAATATGTAACATAAGTATCGATGTTAAAAGTGTCAAAACAAGATTGAGGCTCTTGAAGGTTAAGTAGAAGTTTTTTATCATTTATTAGTTTTGCTATATCATTTGTAGTCATAGTTATCCTGGCTCAAGACGTGCTGAACGTCTCGTACTTGTGTAAACCTTGTTTTGATATAATCCCATCGAAAGCGGAAGACAATTCATCTGCCTTCCGCTCCAACTGGGGCATTTTAGAAAGCCTTTGAGAGTTGCGTAATTACACAGATTACTACATTGAAAAAAAGTTATTCCATTCGGAATTTTAGGCTAAATTCACACAGCGTGCGAGCAAGCTCTCCAGGGTGCTCTAGCGGCGGGGCGGGAAAAGGAAGGAGAGCTTTCAACTACGTCCAGAGACGTAGTTGCAAGCTCTCCTTCCTTTTCCCGCTCGGCCGCCAGAGCGCCCCGGAGAGCTAGCTCGCAGGCTACATTCAGACGGCATCGGACAAATTTTCAGCTGGTTGAAATTCGCACTTTTAGGTGATCCGTTCTCGCGGAACCACCTTAACCGTACGAAAATTTAGACGCCTACAAGGCGTTCCAAAAATTTGAACACCAAAATCGGGGTCAAATTTTTAGCCAGTACGGTCGAGAATTTTTACCAGGTCGGCGTAAACTATAATCGTCTAAATTTTTGAAGGGAAGATTTGACCGGCGCAGTGTAAACACCTAGCCTGAATTTCATCCGATTACTTCGAGTCGTTATTACTCTCTCAGTAACGCCTGAATCGACCATCCGTTAATGCCGTCCAGTGACGTCACTACTCCTTTGCTTTAATTTATGCAAAAAGTTAAACACGATTTTCAGTGGCAAACCAAGAAATATAGTTTGGAAATGTCTGCATGATACAGAATGGCTTTACTTTTTTCGATCGTAATTCATGTTTAAGGTTCAAACTATCAACTGCATGCAGTAAACTGGTTGTAATTCCGCCATTATCAAACTCGGTCGCCATCACGCAATGAAATAAATACACACATGGAACAATTAGTTCTCAACGATTTGCTTTAATTGAAAAGAAGCTATTTAGTCCTTAACGAAGAAAAAAGAAAACAAGAAAACAAGAAAGAAAAGCTAACAGAATCATTACACTTGACTTTGAAAATAGCTAGAGGGTCGAATTACAACATTGGTCTAAGAAACCTCGCATAAACAAAATCACTGCCGAAACCACAAAGTGGTTCTGAATGAAAAACCTACCGACTCTCCGCAAAGATTCTTCATTCGCAGTTCAATTTAGCATTCAGTTTCGAAGAAGAGGGCAATTTTGCTGTTCACAATAAAGATTATTGAAATGTTTGAACTCCACCCAAGCATACCAGGATGTGATCCGCTGAATATCAAGAGACAATCCAGCCAAAATTTCTCATAATTATGCATAATTATGCGAATGTTTAGACAATCAACCAATCAAAATCACTACCCGATTTTCGGGTAGTGATGACGTCACTGAACGGCATTAACGGCCGGTCGATTCAGACGTTGCTGAGAGGAGAAAACGACTCGAAGCAATCGGATGAAATTCAGGCTATGTAAACACCATAACCGTCTAAATCTTTGCACGGTAAACGCGCGGTTGCATGGATGCCTGGTAGCTCAGCTAGAAGGCGCCATTTTGGATTTCCTAAAGGAACGCTCTGCGCATGTACAGATGGTAAAAAAACTCTGACAAAAGTAAAAATTAAACCTTGTTTCGTCAGTCCCGTGTGAACAGACCAAAATATTGAACGGTTCCGTGTGAACAAAACGTCTGGTCAAATTGTTCGGGCGGTCAAAAATTCATTTAATTTGGCGCCTTGTGAACGAAGCCTCAATCGTGCAGAATAGATTAATTATTAACGTTGCACAAGTTTAATAGCCCACGCTCGATATATTAAGATTCTAACATGAATCCGAGGCTTTAGGGGCAAAATTGCAAATTTTCACGATTTCATTGTCTCACAATTCCCAGAAAAGACGTGAACACAAAGAAAACCCCACAATCTAAAAATGACCAGAAAGCCTCGGAGTCATGTTAGAATTTTAATAAGCCGAACGTTGGCTACTGTAAATAGGCCTTTTGCAATAGTTGATCACGTGATCACTGCAACTATCTGTAAACACGAAAACAGTTCGCTTCTGGAAAATTTTCTTAGGAGGAACTGAAAGAGCATATTAAAATTAGGTACCTGTAAATTGTACACGGGCTACGATTGCAGCGGTTGCCAAAAATTAGAAGGATTTGTATAGGAAAAACAACTCTTGCCACCCAGTCACGGTCGAGTGGTTTCCAGACAAATTCTTTTAAATTGTCGTAAAATATTTCCTGAAGCACTAATAATTAATAATCTGAATGCAGGAGGGGCAGATATGTAAAAAGACTCTAAAAATGTGTTACTTGATGATTATATCACAATTTCGGAGTTGAAAAAAAAAACAAAACAAAAAAACACAATTTCCGAGTTGGTAGGTAAAGGTCAAGAGAGCTGGATTCAGCAAGTGGTAGACGATCGATCTGGCTTTGGCAAGGGATGACGGATTTCAGCTAAATGAAAGGAAATACAAAGAGCTCGGGATTAGCTTTGCTCGGAACGAGCTTGTTTTTGACCCTATCTGTGTAAACGGTAAGACCCTAAGGACTGCGAACAGTGAAAATTGCTCTGAACTTTTATCCGTCCGGAATGTCAAACTGAAAAATGCAAGAGTAGTCATGCATGGCTATAGTATAGGCAATTGAGATCTAGAAGTTGTTTGTTTCTTATAGGAGATTTGCGTATGGTTTTGAAATTGTAATTTTTAAATAGTATTAAAAAAATGCTAATTTATAAATTTTTTCCATTTGTAAACCAGTCTAATCGTGATGCAGCTCTTTGGCTGCAAGAATCAAGGTGAATATTTTTACCTATCTATCTCCTTCTCGAGCCGATCTTCTGTTTTAAAATAAGATTTGTTACTGAAACAACTCTTGAACGCGTTATTTGTAACATAAGGATGTCGGTCTTGGATGTGCCTGATATTTGCATCTATTTCTCGCGTTGAATTATGACGTAACAAAAAAATTCCCCACTGGTTTTTAATCGATCAGTGAAAAACACGACGTGATTTCGTAACCGGTGATTTCACTAGCATGATCAAACCTAGTTAAAGGTGAACGTTTATGAGAAAAAAAAAACACGACGTCTCATGGACTTTAGACGGACGGACTCTCCATTTTTTTAATTTTCACGAAAACAAGGTCGCATCCGAATTTTTCGTCCACACACTCAAAAGTTGTAACAACACGTGTTCTCGTGTTGGTCTCCTGGAGTGAAAAGATTATAACTATCGTTAGATGCTTCTTTTGATCAAACATTGAAATAAATTATCGAAGTAATCTAAAAGTGTTTTCCTTTTTCATTTACAAACATCTGGAAACAGGCATAAAGATAAGCCTGAAATTTTGATTCATTACACGATGTCAACGCCACTATCCCATAAACACAGAATTTTCCCATCTTCAATTTTTCGGACAATGAGACATTTCATCAATTTCCTTCCTTTTTGCGAAATTGAAGACATGCTCTAAATAATTGCTGAACTCGGAAATATTCGGGAAAAGTTATTTCTTATTAATAAACGTAGCCGAGCAACTGTCACTCAAAAAGCGAAAAACATAATATACTATTGCAGTTTTTGTTCGTTATTTCAAAGGCTTCAAAAAATTATGCAATAGCAGTAAATACACGGCCTTTTTTGGGGTTTTCTTGTGCCATTGATCAAAAAATTATTATTACTATTATGCTTTGTTGGTCAGTTCGAGTGAAATTTACCCTTCAAATACGATGTTATTTTTTGTTAAGGTGGCCCGGTTTCTTTACTTTCTTTATTAAAATTTTGGCGTATAAGATATCCAGATGTTAAATCCCCAGCAACTCAATAAAATAAATATTACTTAGAATTTTAGTCACGTTCAAGTCAGTTGATATTGTTTTCGCAGACGCATAATGTTTATGAATCATTGCCATATAAGGTATTATTCCTAAATTTTCACTTTATGGGGATTAAAAACAAAATTAAATCAAGGAGGGCTTTAATTATTTTGATTAGTCAAGCTAAATTGTAGAGGATTCAGCTGGTATTGCACTGAGCAAAAAATGTGATCTTTTTTAAGTTGAGCAAGGCGGGTTTCTTGTTTTGCGTTTGTTTTGCATTTTAGTTCCTCGCATGAATCTGAAACTGATTTTAAACTTGTTCATAACAAATAATTTGAATTTTTTCTGTCTCACTAAATATGTTTTGTTTGTCATGATATGCTGAACATTTTTCTTACGCTAATGATGGCGTGTAGGATGTAAGGCTGGGTTATAATTTGATTCTCACATGTGTGGCTCTGTTTGAAAATCTCACAACTGTCATAAAAGTATTGAGTACTATAGCTAGTTTCGCAGATCGGAGAGGCGGAGGTTTCTCTTCATGGAAAAATAGTTACGTAATTCCGACGACAAATCCTGTCCGCGCGCTTTAAGCTCTGCAGCAGTTTTATGTTGAAGTGTTGTTTCCGACAATGTAGAAATGTGACCGTGATTGTTTGTGCTTCAGGTCACTACGTCATAAAGGCGCCGACACCAAACAGGGTCTGCATTCTAATGAAAAATTGACGTCTTTACTCTTTTGGGGGTTTTGCGTTGGCCGATTAAATCAATGATATTGTGCTACTGAAAACATTAGCGAATTCGTCTTATATAAATTGAAATCAAAACACGCCATGCTCCGCAGAACTGCTGCATGCAGTTTCTCAAGGTGTGAAACTTGCATTGTTCTTTATTTTCAAGAATACCAGCTGGTTGGAAATCCGGGTTAACAGAATAAATACAAGGGAACAGTGTTATCTGGTATTTCTTCTGGGAGAAACGTCATGGACATTTCTTCACCACAGAACGTCTTCTTTGGAAAGACCACGAACAGTTCTTGTGAAAAATGCAGGCTCAGTATTGCTGACCGATCGAGAAAAAGTCGGGAGATGTTTTGGCAAAAAGGTTCCCGAATTCTTCCGGACTTTTTCCCACCTGACACGCAAAAGAGGAAAAGCAACCATCACTATAAAGCTCCCTCCGTGAAAAGAACAAGTGTTGTTAAACAGTATTCGTGGGAGAAAGAAGAAAACGGACAATGGGAAGCTCAAACTATTGCTGAATCGTGGATGATGTACTTTGGCCTAGAAGCATGTGACCGGTGATGCAAGCAGACTTTATTTTTCTTCTCTCTTTCTCTTAATCTCTCTCGTTTCTCTTTTTTTCAGATTTGTCTTGTGTCTCGACGCTAACAGTCATTAAGATTTAAAACAACCAAAGTTTTCGTTTTCTGTCAGTGCCTATAATTTTAGTAAACTGTGAAACCCTACCATTCTTCTCTGTAGCTTCAAACTGACACTTAAGTGAAACAACAAATCACAGATAGCTTATTTGATAGGAGTATGCATAAAGCCTTTTTCTCGTGCACTAAGTACACTTTTTAGAAATACGATCAAGAGATGAGTCTTAGTTTGCTCACTGTTCTTTACAAATGTAATTTAAAAATCCTGAAAGTCAGAAAATTTCTGATTTAACTGTGATGTGGCATAAATTTTGTTTGTATTACGTTTGTTTGTACAACACGCGCTTTACTTCAAAGAAATAAAATATTGTAAAAAAGAATAAAGCAAAAATATGTCACTCATTTCGTGCTCCAATATCAATCATTTCTGAAAAGCACCAATGCTTCTAAATGGATAACTGACAATAGAAAAATATTTTCGTTGACAGAAAGTGTAGCGTATTGATTTTGACAGAAAAGACCAGTGCAAATTTCCAACGAGTTAAATTTCAGGCTACCAAATTTGACAGTTGTAATTTAGTGACTCTATAAACGCACAAATTTCAATTGAAAGTAGTGGCAGATTATGCCTTCAGTAATATACATGCTGATTAATTCTTGCTTTTCCTCGATTTTTAATACAAATGTATGAGGAAGACATTGCGAAACTGAGCTAGTTTTGTACACTAGTTGCAAGGTGTATGAGTTCTTATTAGAATATGCCAACCGTTAAACCGTAATAGATTGAAGGATACTACTGAAACTAGTCAGAAGAAAGGAACCAAAAATTAAATAACAAATTAAAGAACACGGACAATGCCTCAGTAGTGCTCTAGTTGGTTGATGAGTTCTTCAAGGATCACAGAAAACAAGAGAATTGTTGTCAGTTTTTTAAAGTAGTTTTTCTTCCTTTTTTTTTTTTGAAGTTAACATCTAGTTGACTGATTGAAAGTAATTTTCAACTGTTGAAAGCTTCTTCCTCGTAGTTTGTGGGGGCCGTTATGACAGCATGGGTGTTCGAGTAATAACCCACGTTCGATATATGAAAATTCTAACGTGAGTCAGAGGCTTTCTGGTCATTTTTCTATATTTGGTTTGGTTTTCTTTGTGCTCAAGTCTCTTTTGGGAATTGTGAGACAATGGAGTCATGAAAAATTTGCAGTTTTTACCCCAAAGCCTCGGAATCATGTTAGAATTTTTAATTAATATATCGCACGTGGGCTATTGATATTGATATTGATATCACATAATATTTTGTTGTGATTGGTTTTCTTTTGATGCCTTTGTTAGACACCATATCCTGTCGTAAGTAATAATCGCATCGAACTCTAATCAGTTTTCATTCCGGTGGCAGAATAATCTGATACCTGTGCTGTTGTTTGGCTGTGCTCTAAATAAGAACAAGTGGTTTAACGGATCATTTTACGTTTTTGGGAAACTGCCACCTACCCACGTTAACAGTTACCTTTTACTTAGGAAAAATATTGGCCTAGGGGAGGGGAGGGTGGGCAATCGGATTACCTTACATGGGAACAAAAGTAAAGATGGCGCTGTTTCCTGCAGTCTGTGGTTCTGCTCCATTAGAACGTGTAGCAATTTTTTGAGCAAGAAGACTTTTCCCATTTCGCAATGCCATATATTGGTGATTTTGCCTTAAAAAAAAATATATTTTTTAAGCTTTTGACAAAAGAGGACTTGTTCTAAGAGAAAATCGAAATACACTTACGAGAATTTTAGTTGAGAAACTTCTGATTTCACGATTCGCGCATTTTTTTTGTCTCTGAAGACACTTGCTTATAAACTAAACAAACTTAGAAGGGTCATGTCACGCTATTTCCTCTCTTGATCATCAATTGAATTCCAAAGAGAATGATCTAGTTTTGTTATGGATTTAAATTTTGTTGTCTTCTCATGCCACCACGGATGGATATGGATTATAACTAGGGAAAGTTGGGCCAACGTTTTCAAGTTTTAGTGCTATGCCTGCAAAAATCACCAAAACATATTAAACTATTGTTGGTCCTCCCTTGGTAGTTTCACAGAAGCATTTTGCGTATGGGTGAAAGTCACTAAGTAATGACTTCAGCACAGAATTGCATGACCTAAAAGACAAATCCTTCTGCCGGATATAGCCCCTTTAAGAAATACCAGCAATGTCTTGGCCAATTCACTGCATTGTTGATGAATTTTACTCCACTTATACGTAGGAAAGCGACACGCCTACAGGTCTTTGACACCCACACGGCTTTACAGCCCTGTCGTGTGCGATTTTACGGTGACAGTGATCGGAATTAAGACTTGGTAAATTAAGAAAAATTGATTTGGATGGAGGGTGGGGAGGGGAGGCGGATTACCACCTGCGTAAGCTAAAGCGAAGAAAGGGGTATGCGGAAAAATTGCACTCTGGCCGTATAAACGTTACGGGGCCGGGTGCACGGGTAACCGAGAAACTCACCCCTCCTCCTTGCCGGTAAGCTCACGCACGCTATGCTTTGACGGTGCAGATCGTTTAGTTTAAGTACGAGGCCCTCCATCTCAAGCTAAGACATTATAATCCACCTTTTCCATTATATTGTTAATTTTTATTCACTTGTCACACTGAGTTTTATAGCCTAGGTTAATTATCATTAGACATCATGAAACCCCAACATATATAAAATTGGACAATCTTGCATTCCATTTATTTTTTGATATCGATGCCATTGTAACTTTTCGAGTGCAATTTTATAAATAACAGATCCTCTGGCTGTTACGTAAGTTTAAATCACGCTCAACTATATTTATCTCTCTCTTTCGGTATAATCGAAAGAACCTGACTCTTATACGAAATCAATAGAACCTTTAACGGACAGCAAATTGGATGCTTAGTTTGGACGCTTACATTCTTACAATTTAAGCTCGTAGAGATTTTAGTGCTTCTTTTTTAGTGCTATGTGTAGCACCGAATCAGCAATCTGCTCTTGTATAGAGTTCTTCACCGCCATTTTGTTTGGTCGATGTCCTTCTCAAATATTTCTTGTTTGCACAGTTTTAGACTCGAAACTTTGCAAAGTCATGGGGTTGAAATCCGAAGTACGCCATCCACCACTCAGCGATTATCTGAGTCTCGCGCTGTTCATCTTTCTCCCTGCACGTGTACTGGTTTACCAATCTCAGGAGGATTTTATCCGACTGATTGTTGAATACGGTTGGCTGTGCATCAAGCGGAAAAAACTCTGGCAGCATTTTGGAACCTTTTCGCCAGAATAACTCACGGTACTTTCGCAATCGCTTGGCCTTGTCCAACTTGAGTTTTTCGGGAGCGACGTTTGCCTCATTGCCGGTGGACATTTCCATGTGCTTTAGAGATTCTTCCGTGTTATACTTTATCTTTTGTAGATGCGATGACGGCTACCTTCTTTACGAGTGCTAATCGTTAATACATTTTTAAGTAATTTAAAATAGACCTTAAACTTTGTGCTCCACCTAACACTAACGACGTCGTCAAACACCTGAAGTGTAATAAAGGTGTGTTTGTATGCATGTTGAAACCGAACATCAATATCCTGTTTATGTGACAACTGATATGACATTTATCAAACCAACTACACTAGGCAATGCCTAAAAGTAATATAATATAATGAAACGTCGGCCTAACAAAACATAAGATCACAGATACTTCCCATTCCTGACGTTCTAGTTTGTTCATTTACTTGCCAGAAAACTAAATAACACATAACAGCCAGTGCCAATCAATTTAATTTTTTCTTTTTCCGCTCTGACTTATATTCTACTTTATCCCCTCCTTTCATTTCGCTTAACTTATGGTTTTGATTTTTTCATGCGCTTAATCAGTACCCCTTTGAGCAGGCATAGGTTTCGTAATTGTACTTTTCGCGGCCAGTCGTCTGTCTCCAGTCAATTATGGTTTCATGAAGTTTGCATGGACTGTGTAGAAATTCCATAGACCTTAGAAAATTATTTTAATGAACATTTCCGTTTATTAAAAATCCGTTCAATCAACTCGGTAATCACTCTGTAAGTTGTTGCTAGAAAGGTAGCTGTCAACTTCATTTTCAGGCTTAGATAAGGCCAGCTTTTAAATTCAGAATCGCCAACGAAAAGCGTCATTTTAATCTAACAAATTAAAGAACACGGACAATGCCTCAGTAGTGCTCTAGTTGGTTGATGAGTTCTTCAAGGATCACAGAAAACAAGAGAATTGTTGTCAGTTTTTTAAAGTAGTTTTTCTTCCTTTTTTTTTTTTGAAGTTAACATCTAGTTGACTGATTGAAAGTAATTTTCAACTGTTGAAAGCTTCTTCCTCGTAGTTTGTGGGGGCCGTTATGACAGCATGGGTGTTCGAGTAATAACCCACGTTCGATATATGAAAATTCTAACGTGAGTCAGAGGCTTTCTGGTCATTTTTCTATATTTGGTTTGGTTTTCTTTGTGCTCAAGTCTCTTTTGGGAATTACAAGACAATGGAGTCTTGAAAAATTTGCAGCTTTTACACCAAAGCCTCGGAATCATGTTAGAATTTTTAATTAATATATCGCACGTGGGCTATTGATATTGATATTGATATCACATAATATCTTGTTGTGATTGGTTTTCTTTTGATGCCTTTGTTAGACACCATATCCTGTCGTAAGTAATAATCGCATTGAACTCTAATCAGTTTTCATTCCGGTGGCAGAATAATCTGATACCTGTGTTGTTGTTTGGCTGTGCTCTAAATAAGAACAAGTGGATTACCGGATCATTTTACGTTTTTGGGAAACTGCCACCTACCCACGTTAACAGTTACCTTTTACTTAGGAAAAATATTGGCCTAGGGGAGGGGAGGGTGGACAATCGGATTACCTTACATGGGAACAAAAGTAAAGATGGCGCTGTTTCCTG